CAAGATGCATACCAAACTTGTCCATGACGGACACAAAACACTTCCCACTCTCATCACGCTCAATACATGCACGCACATACTCCTCTGTCACACCCTCAGCTTTCAAAAAGCGCATGAATGCCGCCACGGCGGTTGCTTTGGCACGCTTTGTGTTTACGGGGGCCAACTCCTCCAAGCCCATGCCTCCTGTCGGATAGGTGGCAGATATGCAAGTGATATGCTTTTCACTTGCTTATTGCGAGGAGGTATAGATATGTTGCGGGGCATTCCGACACGATACGTTGGAACGGCTGGCGTACATGACATGCCATTTTCCTGGCTATACTATTGGACAAAATTTCATTGATAACGTCGAATGATTGGTTTAAAATTGGCAAGATTAATTCTATTGGCTGCTACACTTTATACAAACTTCTAGTAATGTCGGAAAAATGATCATATTCAACCATAGCAGCAGCTAACAACGTTACGCGATGTGTCGCGATTGACATATGAAGTACCTCTGCGGTGGTACCTGTATGAATAAATACACTATGCTAATTCGTGGAGGTCGAAGATTATGGAGTTTCATGGGAACCTATTCGCTGTGGGTCAGACTCGCAAACCTCGCCGCCAGCTGTTTTTTGCTACTAGAATCAAGGTTAAACGCAGATTATTTTCTCATTCTGACTGGTTGAGAGATGAAAAATTATCACAAAAAAAAATAACAGAGACTGTCAGCTTTCCAAAGCTTTTTGATTTTGCACTAGCCGTTCCCAACTTATGGGCCAGTGCCGCCCTGTCGGTGGCCCTCAACTGATTTTTTCCCTTAGTTTTGATTTGGGTTTGTAAACTGACGATCAGCGGGAGACAGCTCTAACCTCCTTAACTGGAGGGCATCACTACTGTACATGGGATATCAATCCAAAGAGGATTGACTGTACTTACACCATTTCAACTTGAAATTCAAAGTCAACTTGAGAGAAATCCAAAATCGTATCATACGATTCGTATGCATGTGCCAGCCAACTTGGCTGAGCCAAGCGGTCCACTTGACGACGATCAGTTCGAGTTGCGTAGATGCATCAGCTCAGGATCTGGTCGAACGAATTGACTGGAAATGATGTAATGGCAAATGTGCAACGAAAAGAGCGAGAGCGACCAAACTGCAACAGATAAATGGACCACTTGCCCGAACGGATCCAAAACATGTGCATGTACCATGAGTCGATTGTATATCGAACTCGCTTCTATTTCGACGATGATCTGGGTGCCACTCAGCTCCAGAAATCGCGTTCGATGTCAAGCTGAACCTGTAGCTCCACCGACTTTTGCGGCGCGAGATTGCTGTCTCGCAGCGAGACTCTCGCTTCGCGTCCGCCAACGAATCGATGGGTGCAATTCGCAAAGAGCAGCCAGCTATAAACATTCGGGTCGTTGCCGTGGAGTTCCGCGGATGATCTGCAATCTGGTGCTCTGCAAAATACGGTCATACTGCCTGGTTTTCACGCCTCGTGATCCTGCTATGCTGCGGGACATTGACACCTGCATGACGAGCGACAGGCATTACCGCACACCTGTCCATACTAACCTCAAGATGTATGGCTAAGTTCGTCTTAAGTTCGTCTTTACAGCTCCGAATGTATCGGAGAAGGTCCACAGCGATGGAGAGCACCGAACTGCTCGGAGACGAAGCCATGGCCACTCCCGAAGTCTCCTCGTACGGGCCTGTGGCTACCAACGAAGCCTTTACCACGCACTCCGAAGACGACGTTCCTGAGACCGCGTCGCTGCTGTCAGAACCGCTACTAAGCTCCGATCCCGACTCCGCTTCAAGCACCATGGTCCAGGTCGGCAAGCAAGGCGCCATCGTGCTGCTATGCTTGATCAACCTGATCAACTACATCGACCGCGGGATCATCCCTGGCGCGCCCGAGAAGTTTAACCAGTTCATCACCGACACTCTTGGTGTGAGTGTGCTACGCCAGTCCGTGTACTTCGGTTTGCTGACCTCAGCATTTATCGCCAGTTACTCCATATTCTCCATGGTGTTCGGCTACTTTGCACTCACACACCGACCTTTCCGTATCATTGCACTGGGTATGACTGTGTGGGTAGTGGCTGTAGCCATCTGTGGTATGGCCCAGGCCGCCGAGAGCTACTACGTACTGATCGCCGGTCGTCTTATCAGCGGTGTCGGCGAAGCTTCGTTCCAGTGCACAGCAACACCCTTTATTAACCGCTACGCGCCACCGTCGAAGCGCTCGCTGTATCTGGGTATTTACTTGGCTTCCATCACCGTTGGAACTGCAGTTGGATACATCTACGGATCCATCTTCGCCAGCTCCGGGTTCGGCTGGGCTGGAGCCTATTTTGTGGAAGGTATCTTGATGATCGGATTCATCATCTGCTGTCTTACTATTGTACCGGACGAGTTAAACCAGATCCCGATCAATGAAGTGGACCGTGAAGAGATCGAGAGTAAGCAGAGTGAACTGGCGGTGGTGCCTCATACTCCTGGAGACGAAGACAAGGCGAGCGCGACCGCATATCTAGAAGACAAAGATCGCAATCTGCGTAAACCGTCGTTCTTTTTGGAGTGGTGGGGCATTTTCAGCAACGTGCCGTTCATGCTGATCATCCTAGGACACGCGGCTTACACCTTCTCCCTGGCAGCTATGAGCACCTTCAGTCCTGCCATCTTCATTGGTCTGGGACTATTTGAGAGCGAGACGACCGTGTCGCTTATGTTCGGTGGACTTGTGGCCATCACCGGCACCATTGGTACGCCTCTTGGAGGAATCCTGGTTGACTACCTCGCAAAGAAGAACCCCAATGAGGTTGGCCGTCGCTGCATGATCTCCGTGTACGCGCTGTTCTACTTCATGCTGGCCGCGGTTGTATTTGGCCTCATTATGGTGGCATTCGCCAGCACCAAGATGCTGTGCTTGGTCTTCCTCACTCTGTGTCTCTTTTTCATGTGTGCGCTATCCGTCCCCGAGACTATTGCGGTGCTCGAGCTCTTCCCAAAGTCGCGTCAGTCGATGGCCGTTGCAGCTAACACGCTGATCATTCACGCTCTGGGAGACGTGCCGTCTCCTATCGTTTTGGGCGCTATCAAGGACTCATGGGCTCCCCACTGTGGTACTGTAGAGATCGACGGGGAAGCAGAGCTAAACCCAGACTGCTCTGAGGACTACGCCGGTCTTCGTGACGTGCTGCTCTTCGCTGTAGTTTGGCTGGCGTGGGGTGTCATGCTCTGGGGCGCTTCCGTCATCGTTGTGAAACGGAGACAGAAGGAAGCAAAGCGTCGTGTGGCGCGTGGTGGTGTGGTCGACGGCTTGTTGTAAGCTGCTATGAGTCATTAGTCGGCGCAGTAGAGTACGACGGTGAACAAGCATCAAGCTGGTGTGGATGACAAGCCCAATAGGAACTAGACACCCAAACAAGGGCAAATCCTTGCCATCGCTGTGTTATGCCTTTTTCGTCTGTATTTACTTGCTTATCTCCCTTCTCCTTCGTTCCCTCTACACCAGAAGAGTAGTAATTGTCGACACCTTTCATGGTCGCTCCACACCAAACACCAACAGAATCGAAGCGTAATTGACTGTCGATGACTCGTCTTCTGTCCCTCCATTGTTTATGATGCCTATAGGTTCTTGCGGTGCAGGATGGAAGCGCCGTACTCTTCGTACTCGCTCTTAGTGATCCACATGTTCTTGAACGTTGCAAGCGAAGCCAAAATGGAGCCACCGATCCATGTAGAGTAGATGCGCGTAGGCGGCGCCGAGATACGAATTTTAATGTCCTTGGGAGCTTTCTTGCGAACTTCGGCGAGTAAACGATCGCCGAAGCCCGGGAACAGCGTCGAGCCTCCTGAAAGAATAATCTGCGAGAAGAGCGTCTTACGCAGGTCCATGTCCGACTTCATAATGGCCTGCACCAGGCACTCATGCACACCACGCGCCTCTGATCCGATAATCTCCGGTCGGAACAGCACTTCCGGTGCGCGGAACTTCTCAGGGCCAATCTGTAAAACAACAAGATAGCACACAACATGTCGTTAAATCACTCACTCTCACCCCACAAGATCCAAACAGCAACAACGTCAAAATTCTTACGTTGAGCAGCGTGCCGTCCGGCAAGTAGTAAGCCGAAGTGTCATCTCCGGATGTGGTGGTAGACTTGGACTTACTGATCATATCCTTGACTGCGAGCGCCGATTTTTCAGCTTCAAGTTGCTCCTCCTTGGTGGGGTTAAAGGCCACATAGCACAGCTTCTCCTTGATCTCCCGAACCACCTCTCGCTCTGCAGAAGTCTGGAAATTGTAGCCTGCTCGACGCAATAGCAGCTGCAAGTGGCGAGTGACGTCTCGTCCAGCAATGTCCATTCTTGTGATGGCATGGGGCAACGTAAAGCCTTCGTATACTGGAACTACATGTGCCACACCGTCCCCCACGTCCAACACGACGCCTGTAGTACGGCCAGAGGCGTAGAGACTCAGCACAGCCTGTGGCGAGACGAAGAGTGATGGTACATTGAAAGCCTCGAAGAAGACCTCGCCTGCGCGCTGACGGTTTGCCACCGGGTTCAACGGCGCCTCAGTTAGCAGCACCGGGTGATCCTCGCTCTGTACATTGAGCATGTCCTTGGAGTACACGTGCTGCCAGATGCGGTGCATACTGTTCCAGTCCGTGACCACGCCGTGCTCCATGGCATATTGGATCTTGAACAGCCCACGATGGTGCTGTACGCGGTTGCCTACGAACACGTCGCCACCCTCGTACGCCCCGCCAGGCATCATACGTGTGTGTTTGGTGGTGCCCACGAAAGACGGGAATACCACCTGTGGCGTCTCTCCGCCAGCGAAACCTGCCTTCATGAGTCCGCTGCCATTGTCGATCACGAGTGGCTGGTTGCCCAGCACCTCCCGCGTCGCCGCGCTCGCCATATTTGCTCTAAGATGCGGGGGAGCTTGAAAATCCTACTAAGTTTTGTCCTTGTGTCCAATACAAAATGTCACTGCAACATTTTTTCAGCCTGATAGTACTGAAATGATATAATCAAATGACACTTGATGCTGGACACAGATAGAGCGGACCATCACTCTTGGTCTTGCAGGGAGCCAATACAATAGCTTAAGGAAAACGCCTACACACCATGGAGGGAGCGGAGAGAGAGGTGGCGGCGCTGCTGGAGCAGGTGCAGGGCACACAAAGCAACGCCGAGCAGATCGATCTGTTCCGTCACGTGCAGGAGATCGTGACACACCGAGATCCATCGGGATCAGAGCGGCGCGTGCTGCGTAATGTGTTGCCATTGCTCGGACAGCTCGCTCAGCAGCAGAACGCGACGCTGGTGGCTTCGATCCTGCAGCTTGTGGCACAGGAAGCAGACGCTGCGTCTGCCACAGCTAATACAGCGTCAAGCGAGGCAGTGGGTGCGGCGTCCACGCTCCTGGCCGGGCTCTATGAAGTATGCCACACCGTGTTGTTGCTCAGCTATTCGAGCGAGAAGAACGTGGTGCTGGCGCTGCAGCTAGCGCTTAGCAGTCTGCACTCAAGTTTCCAGGTCGTCTTGCGCGCCGAGAACATTGAGAACCGCGTGGATATGGAGCCAAAAAGCTGCTGGGACGCTACGATCCGCTGCATCGAAGCGACGGCCGACGTCGTGGCCAACCCGCCGGAGGCAGGAGACAACAACCGCAGTGCCATGGTCTGGTTGCGAGCCTGGAAGCTGTTGGAGAGCAGCGCCATGCTCTTTAGCACAGCGCAGGATGCGTCCGTGTACCGAGATCCCATGCGATCCAACGTGCAGCCCAACGTTTGCAGTCTGGATCGACTGAGTGGAGGAAAGCAGACGATTCTGGTCAAGACACAGCTACAAGAGTTCGGAGTTTTCTTGTTACAGAGGCTGTGTGGGGTTTTGGGCGCTGTAGCGGAGAGCAAGGTGGCACTGGCGAGACGAGAGTTGAGTGTAGCGATTAATTCACTGTCGCTGCTAGCGGCCGTGCGACCACAGCACATGCCACATATTTTACCAAGGCTAATTGCTATTTCGAATGCAGTGGCAACGCCGGGAATGGAAGATGCCGTGATGCAAAAGACTCTGACAGCCAACTTGGTGAAGCTGCTGAGCCATCCGGCAGCGCAGCCATTTGCGGACGAAGTGACGGACATTTTGATCGCTGTGGGGGCATCCCAGCGCGCCTTTGCTGCTATTAGTAAGAGCAAGGAACAGCGCAGACGGTATACCAATGCACCGACTGAGGCGTCTTTGCGAAGGGCCAGGATCGGAAAGCGCACTGCAGCACAGTCGATCACAGAGCGAGTAGAGAATGCCAACGCCCATGCCAAGCGCAGACGTGTGAACCTTTCCGAGTCTTCAGCAGCCCCTATCTCTCGAGAAAAAGTGACACACGACGGAATTGTCAACATGCAAGCTGTGGAAGTCGCCAATTTGGTGCTGGAGAGTTTTGCGTCTGATATGCCAACTCCCGCGCCTTCTAACCTGCAGTTGGAGCTCGTTCCTAGCGCGTTGAAGACGCGAATGTCTGCACTGCTGGCAAAGCTTGCAACTCCTTCCTCAGCTTTCGCAATTGAGAAGAGTGCTAAGCGCATGCGTGACCCTCGACTAAGACGCGATCCAAGGTTGCAGACACAGAACAAGGAGCAGCCAGCACTTGTGTCCATTTTTGATGACACTGCCGTCGAGGAAGTGAGTGATTGGATCTCGAAAAATGCTGCTACAATCGCAGAGCCACTCGTGTCTGTCTCGGAGGATAACGTGGTTCAGGTGCACTTGAAATCCGAGACTGCTGCGTGGCAACACGAAATGGCTGTTGACGCGCTGGTTCGGATCTTGGAAAACGAATACGGTGTGAAGATTCGAGGTGACGAAGCATTGCGTGAAGGGGTTGTCTGTCGTCTTGCGTCAAGTCCGTGGCTTCTGTGTACGGACGAGAAAAACAAGCCGATTGCGCTGTCGGATGAACAACCGAAACTACCGTTTGTCTACCAAAAGATTTTGGATTTCGTGCTGGGCGATTATGCCGTGCGTTCAACGCTTGCAATAAATCTGCTGTGTCAGGAATATATTCGTGCTACGGCTTCCCAGCTAAGCGGAACTCAAGGCGAGGACTCTATAACTCCACCTGGCACTGCTGATTATCAGATCTATCGGAAATCTGTAAACTATTTCTTCGACACGTTGCAAAAGAAGATGAATATTTCCTCATCTGCGGACAAGAAGCTGTTTGGTAGTCTGGTGGCGCAACTGCCACGGACTCCGGTGGAGATTCTTCGCCTCGTTACGTCGCTATTTAGTGAGAAATCCGGAGTCGTTCTTGGGATTACACTGCTGCGAGATCTTTGCAAGGAACGGAAAGCATGTCAGATGCCGTGTCTTCTGCTCCTATTGCGGTATACATGCCATGAAGACGAGCACTATCGAAATTCTGCTATTCGCTGTGTCGCCAATCAGCTTTATGGAATCGGTGCTCTTAAAAATGACATCGAAGAATTTGCGATCAAGTTAGTCAACTCATTGCGGGAGCCTGTCACAGCCAACGATGCAAGTGCGACAGAAAATGATGAGCCGATGCCGGAGGCCGTCGATGGTGCTGAAAATGTCGAATCCGTTAGCATTCAAGAGCCTTCTGCAGCAGTGGAGCAAGGAGACTGCTGGCTGAAAACCCAGGTGCAACGGATTACACTTGCTGAAAAGGACACCAACCATGAGCTGCGGGCTTATGCAGACGAAATTCAAGCGGAAACTGATCTTTCCAAGTCCTTGGACAGCGAACCGGAGATTCTGCGGCGGTTGGAACTCTATCTGGCTCTGTGTGCGAAGAAGCCGTCACTGTTGACACACTTGGTGGCGACGTATGCGTACGCATCCGAAGCAGTGCGCCAAGTTGTTTTCCGTGCCATTGAAAAGCTCATCAAGCATCTCAAGCAACGCGGAAGTGTGAACGTTGTTGCCCAGCTTCACGGGTACGAGCCAAATGCTCTTGGACTGGTTTGCCACATCATTCAGATCCTGTCGCTTCGTGGACGGCCGAACGAATCTAGCTCGTCAGCCACTGACGAGCTCGTGCAACAGATTTTGGAGCTCTACCATAGCCACGAACACATTCCAGACTCAATCTCGGTGCTCATTCCGGTGTTGCCCAGCATTCGTGGTGAGATCCTGTTCCCATTGTTGCCCCAGCTGCTATCACTACCCCAAGCTCGACTGTCAGTCGCCATTACGCGGCTATTAGAAGCAATGCCTCCGCAGGTGGTAGCTCCTATCGACTTGCTGGTGGCACTGCATCACGTGGATCTCAAGAGCGAGCCAAGCATGCAAAAGAAGGTTATTAACGCCATTAATTTCTGCGTGGAACACCGTCACGCATTCCCTTCGGACGTGCTTCTTCACGTGTGTCGAGTGTTGGTGCAAGAGGAAAGAATCTCGAAGCTTTCGCTCCGTACGCTCATTCTTAGCGTCACAGCCTACCCGACTCTGCAGAAGGATATGGCGTCTCTTCTCAACATTCTCATTGACAGGAGGGTGTGGGAGATGGAAGATGCCTTGTGGAAGGGCTTCGTCAAGTGCTCAGCACTCATCCAGCCAGCATCTTTCCCCTTGCTTCTTCACAAGTTACCGGTGCCACAACTGGACTTGTTATTGAACGAGGAGAAAGAGTTGCGTGTCTTACTCCGTGAATTTGCCTTCACTGCTGGTCCTGACGGCCAGCCTATGGATCTTCCGTCCGAAATCAACGCGCTCCTCGAAGACCCGCAAGAAGGCAAGCTTGAAAACGTCCCTGACAATGAAGAACCAGTAATGAAAGTAGAGAACACTGATCCCGCCAAGGTGGAGCACAACGAAGATGAGGGAGTGGAGCCCAGCAATTAGGAGAGTGGCTGCAACACCGCAACCACTTACAACGATAGATACTCAACTGAATCAGAGGAAGAGGCAACAACATTGCCCACAGGGAATGCCCCAGGAATTCTTTGACTCGGAAGTTACTTTGGCAATGCCAAGTTTTTTACTATTGTTTTGTACGGCAAGTTTAGCCGCAGGTGTGGCTGTTGTAGCGAACGTGGCATATCTCACTCACTTCTGCAATAGCCTTAAGGGCTTCGTCCATATCCTCCTTTGTGTGAGCTGCAGAGATACAGAAGCGCACGCGGGACAGCAACAACGGCGTGGCTGGGAACCCCACGGTCACCACGGCGAGATTGCGCTTGAGGCATTCGCGGGAGTACTCACCGACTTTTGACATGTGATACAGCATCACTGGGATCACAGGCGAGTCGAAGTCACCAAGAGTGATCACACCCATGTCGATCAGCTTTTGACGGAAGTAGTTGCTGTTCTCACGAAGCGAATCCAGTTTATTACGACCAATGTCTGTGCCATCCAGACCCGCGACGATGTTAAGTGCCGTCAGAATCTGCTGCGCAATGACTGGAGACAAACTCGTCGCGTAGATCGCACCAGCGCTCGAGTTTCGAATAAAACTAATGATCTCCTCCGATGCTGCGATGTATCCGCCCATGCCACCGAAACTCTTAGTAAATGTGCCCATCAGAATGTCGATCTCGCTCGGATCTACTCCAGCATACTCACAGATACCTCGGCCAGTCTTACCGAGAGCCCCGATACTATGCGCTTCATCAACGTAAATGTACGCTTTGTACTTCTTAGTTACGTCCACCATCTCTCGAAGACGTACGATCTCTCCCTCCATTGAGTAGATACCTTCAATCATCACCATAATCTTCTTCCACGCCCGGTGCGTACGAGGCTGTCCTTCCGCGATCTTAATGCGCAAAACCTCTTCCAAGTGCTCTGGATCGTTGTGTCTAAAGACACCCACAGTCGCTCCGGAGGCACGGGCACCGTTCACAATGGAAGTGTGGTTCAGTGCGTCGCTTAGAATGAGCGTGCCCTTGCCCATAAGTGCCGGGATGCTCGTCGCATTCGTTGCGTAGCCCATGTTGTACACAATAGCCGCTTCCTTGCCAATGAATTTGGCCACAGCCTTCTCCAATGCAACGTGCACCGACGTGGTACCGAACTCCATGGGAGGCACAGTAGAGGCCAGAGAGAACTGGTTCACAGACTCAAACACTTCGTGGCTGCACGTGTTCATCCAGTCATCGGCAAAGCCCAAGTAGTTGTAGGATCCAAGGTTGAGACAGCGCTGCGGCGGCTCGTCCAAGTGCACGAAGGTCTTATTCCCGTCAGTGGACGTGCGCTTGATGAGGTCGATATGAGCGCCAGGAGCGCCAGTCACCGGGCGATTGAAGACGTCCTGCACGCGGTGGTACAAACGACGAGTGTAGAAACTTTCCCAGGCGATAAGAAGCTTCGCCAGTCCGGAACGATCCTCTTCCGAACGGTAGCGAGAGATGCCCGAGACGCTAGCCGCAATGTCACGCAAATGACCGAAGGTTATGAGGATCGAGTACTGCAGAAAGCACATGATGGCAGGGAACCACGGCACGTGCTCGGCGGCCATGACGAGAGGAGATTGATGATAAGAAAGTTGGCAACCCGGAGAATTCTAAAATGACTCGCAAACGCGTTGTGTCTCTTGGGACAAGTCTCTCGAAGCAACAACGATTTGGGAGATCAGAGAGAGTGAGAAGGTTGAGCCACTTGGCCCGTTGATGCAGCTTACGAACCATGACGTGGCCGCTTCGGACTGCTCACTTTGCAAAACTGCACGGCATCAGCACCTCGAATTGAGCCACGGAAACATGCAATGATGTTGGCCTGCCTGCTTGGACTAGTTAATTTTCAAGTGATGTGCCATTGCGTGACTAGAGCGACTACGCACTAACGGCATTAGTTTGACGCTGACTCAGCGTCGCTGAGACGGTGGCCATGAGACTTGAATGCGGTGGTTCATTCTGCTTCTGTCGAGAAGAAAGCCATGAACGATCATACCATGTCCGAACTTCAGACCTACGCATTGGGACCCACAATTACATACGACGTTGTATTGAGAACTCAATTGCAATTTGTATTCCATCATCAAAAACCAGCATACGCGGAAGAGTGAAAGAAGTGCCATTCATTTAGTTAGCAGCGCCTGCACAATCACATCCGGAGCGACTACCGACGTCAGGAGGTTACGGTCGCAGGTCTAAGAGTGAGTCTTCTTCTCGAAGCGGATATTGCACAAGTCGCAGACTTCCTTCAGCGCCACCAGAGCCGTGTCCATATCCTCCCGCGTGTGGGCAGCCGAGATGCAGAAACGAACACGAGCGAGCAGCAGCGGCGTCGCCGGGAAACCGACGGTCACCACAGCCAAGTTACGCTTCAAACACTGGCGAGAGAACTCCCCGACCTTCGACATGTGATACAGCATCACTGGGATCACAGGCGAGTCGAAGTCACCAAGAGTGATCACACCCATGTCGATCAACTTCTGACGGAAGTAGTTGCTGTTATCACGCAGAGACGCAATCTTCTTACGGCCGATATCCGTGCCGTCCAGACCCGCAATGATGTCAAGTGCCGTCAGAATCTGCTGTGCGATAACCGGAGACAAACTCGTCGCGTAGATCGCACCAGAGCTCGAGTTGCGGATGAAATTAATGATCTCCTCCGACGCCGCGATGTACCCGCCCATGCCACCGAAACTCTTCGAAAACGTACCCATCAAGATGTCGATCTCGCTCGGGTCCACTCCAGCATACTCACAGATACCACGACCAGTGGCACCCAGAGCTCCAATGCTGTGAGCCTCGTCCACGTAGATGTACGCTTTGTACTTCTTGGTCACGTCCACCATCTCGCGAAGACGAACGATCTCGCCTTCCATCGAGTAAATGCCCTCGATCATCACAATGATCTTCTTCCAGGGGCGGTGGGTACGTGGCTGTCCTTCAGCGATCTTGGTACGCAGCACCTTCTCCAGGTGCTCGGGGTCGTTGTGTTTGAACACGCCGACCGAGGCACCAGATGCGCGTGCTCCGTTCACAATGGAAGTGTGGTTCAGCGCGTCACTCAGAATGAGCGTACCCTTGCCCGTGAGCGCCGGGATACTGGTGGCATTGGTGGCGTAGCCCATGTTGTACACAATAGCCGCCTCCTTGCCAATAAATTTGGCCAGTGCTTTCTCCAGTGCAATGTGCACGGAGGTGGTGCCGAACTCCATAGGCGGGACTGTCGAGGCCAGCGCGAACTGCTTTACGGCAGGGAAAACTTCCTTGCTGCACGTGTTCATCCAGTCATCAGCGAAGCCCAAGTAATTGTATGATCCGAGATTGAGGCAGTGCTGGATGCATCCGTCCTTGTTGTGCAGCGTCTTGTTCTCATCTACCGAGTAGCGCTCGATCAGATCGATGTGCGCACCTGCAAAGAGGCAGAGGGGGTCAGCATACAGAGAGAGCGGGGAGGGGGAGTGCTAGAGCGCACCTGGTGGACCGGTCACAGGGCGGTTGAAAACGTCCTGAAGGCGGTGGTAGATGCGCTTGGTGTAGAAGTTCTCAAAGGCCACGAGCAAAGGCGCGTAGCCCTTTTTGGCATTGTCCGCGTAGCGAGAGCCGCCGAAGATGCTACCTGCGTGGTCTCGCAGATGTCCAAAGGTGATGAGGATGGCGTACTGGATGTAGCACAGGATGGCCGCGGCCCATGGCACGTGCTCGGCCGCCATGCTCAGAGACTGCTGGACGCGCTTGAGGCTTTCTGACTATGCAGCGGGGAGTTCGCCAAAGTGGATCACTTGCCTGCAGTCCCTTGAAACGGTGAGAAAAACAAACCTAATTTCAGCCAATCACAGAACTACTACATGGCAATTTCCCCGTAATCTTCCACTACGTATTGATGCCACAGTAACTCCGTAAAACGGAGCTGTGAACATCTAGTTCAATGGTGTCTGCCTGCATGCAGCCTACAATAGCAACTTGCTGGAGTATGAGGCCGGACAGAGGGCCTAAGAGCGCACACGATATGAGTTACGCTAACGACAAGCATGAGAGGGTCTTCGCTCTTTCTATGGTACTAATAGGTTACCGACGACGGTTCGTATCTTACCGGTATCTCGACTCGAAGCGACACCGAGTGAAGGTTCGGTGCAATGCAGGACGCTTCCGTACTATCGCCGCCTATGGAACGCGCCACGTGCTCGCCGCAGTCTCGCCACCGCAAGCGCCGCCTGCTGGAGGCCACGCAGCACGTGTCACCTCCTTCTGACCGTCTGTTGATCGAAAATACGGCGGCGCAAGTGGCGGTGACACAGAACTCGGATCAGACCGAGGCAGTCAATGCCTGCATACGCGTTCTACGCAATGTTAAGAACAGTGTGTATCTACGAGGTAAAGTCACATATTCCACTGCATTAGATATGTGACTGGCTAACGTGCACCCGTGGTCGTGTGCAGCGCTGGCAGCGCGAGCTTTGGGGCTCCTGATGCTACAGAATCGAGCGCTGGCTGACCGATTGCGGCTCGAAACCGAAGGATTAGTGGACGCCTTATTGCAAGTCGTCGGGTACTGTCGGCGTAGTCGTACACATACGACGGACACCAGACGTGTACATGTCAACTGTTGCCTCGTCATTTCGCTGCTAATGCAAGGTACGAGACGCTCCAGGTGAGAGAATGAGAGATTGAAGATAAATAAAGCGTTACTAACGAGTTGTATGGGTTTGATCACGTGCAGCTCCATCGCAGCAGCACCTGCAGTTGGTGGTGTCGCTAGACTCGGATCTGCTGGTCTTGCAACCGCTGCCTTCAGAGCGAGAAAGCGCGAATCTTCTACTGACGGTTGCTGGTCGACCAGAAAGTGGGGATATCACGCGACCGACGGGTGATGACGATCGTGGAGTTGTGTTTGGTGCAGGTAGTATTGAGATTTTGAATAGGAAGAAGAAAATAAAGAAAAAGAGGAGACAAGCTGCGTCATCTCCACCTCGAGCTGCGGGGAGTAAGAATCAGCAGTCGCCACCACGCCAGCAGCGCCGGAAAATCCCATGGACTGAGCATAACGTCAGTGCTCCCAGTGACCATGAAGTTATGGTTCCCCGCTCACCGGGTTCTGGATATCCGAGAAGCAATAACGGCTGGTCAATCAATCGAGTTACTGGTGATAATCTGGCTGCAAACATCGCTAGCAGAAACACGCCCAGCCGATTTCTCAAAATGGAACGCCATCGCCTGGTGACGCCGATATTTCCTCGCCAATGTATACAGGATATACCGCTAAATCCATTACCGCTTATCCAGCCAACCGGTGGTCATCACATGTCTGGAGACGAGGTGATATCGGAGCAAACAGACCAAGCAGATGAAACTCAAGCTACAATGCTAGAGAACGTATTTCAGCCTCACCCCGCATCTGACACGCTATTGCACCCGAAGCACATGTTGGAGATCTTTCGCACTGGTCGAATGCCACTCGCTTCCACAGCGTATTTTCAACAGCACCTGCGAGACGGTGATATAGGCGACAAGGAAGGGAAACCAGTACCTAGTCGACTTCAAATTACTCAATGGGATCAATGGAAAAAGAGTCACCATGATGAAGACGACAGCGCGCGTGACGCCATGACAGCCGTATCTGCGATGCCAAGAGAGCACCATCAACCTGATAATATCATTATCAACGGAGATAGAACAGTAAACGCTTCTCCGACTAGACCAGGAGCCAAGAGACAGGTGAAGGTGCAAGCTGAAGAGCTTGGGCCAGCTACACCAGCGTTTAATCGCCAGCGACTGCGGGAAATCTTAACTTCTCCTGTGGACCCTAACGAGCATAATGTTCGCCAATTGAGAACACTCGCGCAGCGAGTGAATACTTCGGTGATGACATCGCTGGAGTCCGACATCGAACGAGCTCGACACGAGGAGAACCGGACGCGGCAGGAAATGCACTCAATGATTCAGCAAGAGCGTGAGCGACTGCCACTCAAGTTCCTCTTCCATTTGCCTGGTGGTGCCGCATACTGTCGACATCGAATGCGACGCGCTATGGCGCTGTGGATACTCGAATTTGAAGATAACCAGCGCCGTATGGCACTCATGCAGTGGAAAGCATTCGTAGAGCACGCACGTTTTCTTGAGCGTGGGGAGGAATATCATCGCCAGGCTACTAAAAGGCGTCTCAAAGTCGCCATCGAGTACGTGTTGCGGGGTTACCAGCAACAAGGACTTCGCAAGTGGACTGAAGCTACACAATTACTCATCTGGCATGACCGAGACACTGCAGCGAGGCGCATCCAGGCGGCTATCCGTCGTCATCAAGGCCGAGAACGTTTTGTAGCACTGCACCGTCGTCACCCTTTTGCAAGTCCCGTGCTGCGTGATATTTATCTTGCACCAGCCCGTCCAGACCTACCCTTTCGGATACCGAGCGAAGTTCGTGAACACAGACGAAAACTATGGCAAGCAGCCGATCTCGTGCAATGTGCGTATCGCTACAGGCGGTTCCGTATTGCACTCACCCGCTATCGTGTTGCAGCCATTAGAATCCAGGCGCTGCAGCGTATGCGTGCAGCTCGTTCGCGTTATCGTCATGTACGGCGACAGATTATACTGGTGCAGGCGCGTGTTCGAATGCGTTTTTATCGTGATGCGTTCTTAGTTCTCCGAAATGCGGTGCTACTGGTTCAAGCGGTTTTTCGCTCTGTGCGTATGCGGCGACTACGTCGATTAGTGCTTTGTGCTCAGCGTAAAGAAAGCGAGCGCGTGTTGTCCAGTGCCGTACTGCTGCAACGGGTTGCTCGCGGGTTTCTCGGGAGAATTGGTACACGTCAACTTCGACTTGTTCGTGACCAAGAGTGGCATGCTGCACTGATCTTTCAGCGTTGTTGGTACAAGCGTAATAACGAGTGGTCGACGTTCCTGCTACTTGGATGTCTGCGTGAAAAGGAAAACGAAGAGCGCATGTTTGATGCTCAGGTACTGGCGTACAAACGCAATCACATGGCCAGAGTAATTCGCCGCACCTGGCTGGCATATCTGGCTTCGAAGCGGAGCACAGCTGCGGGTCTCATTCAGCGAAATGTTCGTCGACGTTTGGCTCACCACTTTGTCGAATTCCTGCGTCGACAGAAGATGGCACATCGACGGATCAAATGGTTCTTTCGTGTCCACCACTCTCACCGTATTCGGACAGCGAGGTACTTACAGTTCTGGTGGCTCAAGACTGTTCCAGGACGACTACGGCACCACTTGTTCATCCGTCGAACCGTGGAGGCATTGGAGGACAGACGTCGTAAATATGAGCGAGAGGAGAATTCTTCATCTAGGATGCAGGCACTGGTTCGTGGTCACATGGGTCGGAAGGTTGCACTACGGATGCGCTCAGCTCGTTCCATCCAGCGGGCGATTCGCGTACACTTAATGCGCAAGCATTTCAGGGAAGAGATGGCTCGTATTAGAGCTCTAGTTTCGCTTCAAACCGCCGACAAGTGCATTGATACAGCGATGAACAAGGTGGTTGAAGCTACAATGAAGTTGTACAACGCTTCAGCGTGTGCGATTCAGCGCATTTTTCGAGGCTGCCATTGTCGAATGCGCGTAATGAGGGACATCGTTTACTCGGAGTTACGGGCGCGTATGGCAGTGCGGATTCAGCGCAAGTGGCGGCAAAATACTCATCAACGAGCAGCTCGAAAGCTTTTGCAAGCTCAGAAGCGCAAGCAAACGAACCCGTTCCGAACTGAAACATCCGTGAGTGCCATTATCGACAAGATGTTGTCTTCGTCAGCTGTGTTCTACGATCCAAACGATGAACTTCGAGGAATGATGGTGCAGGAATGGCTACATCGGCTTGGTCTTGGAGCAAAATATGGCGAGCTATTCCAGAAGAATCGTTGGGTTTCCTCTATTGACTCGATAGATATATTGACGCGACTTCGTGAACTCAATATCGACGCGTGTGGAGAAAAACTCGAGAGCATTGGTGTCCACGACAACGAAGATATGCAGATGATGTTAACAAACCTGTTCGCTTATCAGACGATTCAGGAAACAAAGAGACAACGTAGGGAGTTGGCGTTAGCCCGAGAGAAGCAGGTGCTACTTAAACGAAATTGTGACAGGGCTCAAAGGCAGTTGCAAGCGTGTATTAACGCCCAACAAAAGTATGAGAACGCCCTGGAGGAGGTGCTTCAAGAAGCAAAAGAGTTTCGGAATCCACCTAAAGCTGTCCGCGATAGACAAGCTGCATGCACTCGCGAGCTTGAAGACGCTGTCAAGAAAACAACTCAAGTTCATGGAAATTGCGAATCGTCAGCAGCGCTGCATGCAGCACATGCGCGTGAAATCTCCACATTACAACAACAATTCGCTTCGCAACAAGAGCCGAAGGAGATTTCAGCGGTACACAGTCAACGCAGCCTGAGATTCATCGATCAGCTCAATGTAGCTCGCGAGATCTTTCTCGAGCGGTTTCCTGGCTTGGATGCTCGTGCGTTTGCGTTTGTTAGTGCTCTCGAGGAGAGTCAAGTGACGAGATGGCAGCTCCAGCGCTTCTTCGACACTTACACTACAGTATCGGAGGTAAAGCAGAACATGAAGGAGCTCACGTTCTTCTCCTTCGAAACTGAGGTGAAGAAGCACAATCATGCGAGATTCGGCCAATGTGCAGACATTCTGCAATATGGACTTGAGCGGCTCGCCGAGTTGTTCGGAATTTCTATGGAGATGATGGTCCTTGGGGCCGAGAATGCCACTGTATCAGGCGGTGGTCAACATAACATGCTGGAGCGCTCGATACTTGAGCGTACACTTCTTGGCACGATTTCTGCCTCCACTAGTGCTCGTGGAAATCAAGAAAAGGCACGAATATGGCAAGTGGGGGCTGCTATAATTGCCGAAATGAACGCAAAAGCCACGAAAATACAGAGTCTGTGGCGTCGACGGGCTGGGAACAAACTAGTTGCCGAACTCCGGGTCAATCAACGCCATAAACAAGTTCGCGAGCAATATGTTGCCGAATTTCACACCGACCACGTCACGCCATTTTGGCAGTCGGAGCGCAAGAAAGAGCAGGAAGCGCTGGATGCGTGGCTAGCGGAAGAAGCAAAGGCACATCGAATACGACGGCTATACAACATCACACGGTATCCATACGTTGAGGAATGGGATGACGAGGCTCAGGCGTACGTGTATGCAATTTATTCGCAAGTTGACTCGGCAGCGCTGCTAGGTGAGGACCTGCAGCCATTTGAACAGACCCAGACCAGGTACTACGTCACTGAAAAGCCCACTTATTCTATTGAAGAAGAAGACATTATCATTCGAATCCAAGCCCAAACACGTCGCTTCCTCGCTCAGCGTCATCTCCATGAGCTGCAGCGCTCATATCGTCGTGAGCGTCGGCGTGCTGCACTTGAAGTAGAATGGAACAACGCTAAGCAAGAGCGAGCGCAGTTGCTTACGCTCACATTCCAATTCCAATTCCGTAACAATGCACACGTGAAGACATGGCTGAACACACGATTGAAGTCCAAGCCTCCTGGGCCTCGTAAGCCTTCTGCAATGTCACCAACTCGTAAGCCTTCTGCAGTGTCACCAACCAAGTATGGTAACAGCATTACAAAGGGTATCGATCCATCCACTGCGGGCAAGGCTAAATCTCCTACGAAGGCTGCAGGCAGAGAGCAGAAAGAAGATATCACCAAGGTGGACAAGGAACAAGAGCAAAGTCATCTGGGAGTGCATGGTACTCTAAATGCAGCTGTTGACGCCCTCGCACCTACGTACCATGTTAGTGTGCGTGCTGAGCATCGCCGAAACTTGAGCTTCCCGGCCAATTCGCGTCCTGGTAACGCACACAGTCGAGCCATTATTCGTCTTTTGGAAGAGCTACCCACTTTCTATCGTCAAACAGCACCTGAATTACAGGTAGCAAGCAGGTTAAGATACACCAAGATGGCTCTACGGTTCGGTTGGGAAGAAGTGCAGTCTAATACAGCACCAGTGGTGAATACGATCAATGCATCACGGTCGTATTATTTCAACAAAAGCACACTCGAGACGTCATGGGAACGTCCCGATTACTCGTTTGACGAGCAGATTGCAGCTATCCAAATCCAAGCGCTAGCTCGGATGATCTTGGCTATCAACACGCGTGAGAGAGAACTCGCTTCTATTTCGTTCGTGGCCACCGTCCAGGATGCCATCAAACAAGCAGCACGACTCGGTTGGGTGGGTTATTCACTCGAGGGCATGACGGCGGCTGTGTTTTTGAGTAGATTTGGCCTCATCAAGTACATCACGTCGGCGTTGGGACAATCTCCACTGGAGGAACTATTGGCCACGGTATCATCCGAGGAAAAGGCCAAGAGCCTCGGTTGGAGCAAGGAAGAAGTTGGTCTGGTGCCGTTATTTCCCCAAATTTTGCCGCGCAGATTCCCACGGAGCTGTTCGAGAGCAACATCCGTTCCTGCCAGCATCAAACACCCGTTCAATATTCTACCAAGTGAGCGTGTGATCTCACAGCTTGTGACCCAGAGTTATCCGAACCAACACGGGCGTGTTACTGGTCTACTCCGCGCGTTGCGTAACTCGACGACTCCGATCTCGTATCGCCAGCTAGAGATGCACCTTCGTCGATATGCAGGTCGTCCCGACGATGCTATTGCAAATGTCGGTGAAATCACCTCACTAGCGATAGCCACTCGAGAGCCGCAAGAGAAGACTATCTTCGCGTTTTATCTCCGTTGTGCTGAGCGGTGTGTGGTATATGCTGCCAATCTCAAACTTACGACACTTCAGCGAGAACTGTCGGCTGTGCTACGGATGCCTCGACACCTAATGCCATCTCCTGCACCACCGCAATCACCTGCTAAAGACGAAACCATGAGAACCAAAGCTTCAATACCTGTCGTTCCAGTCTCTCCAGAAGAGGAAGAACGATGGCTACAGCAGGCTTTGTCTCGATACCCAAGTCGCGCAGTTAAAGGTCTTTGGGAAAATGAGATGGGATCCTCGTTTTCACACGCCCAAATGGCTCTTTATCTCCGCGAAGAAGCATTAGAGCGAGTGCTTGCTTGGGAACGCACTGCTCTACTGTGTCAAACAGCTTTCCGTATGCTGCGTGTGCGTCGTTGGTACCTCGCTACCCAAGAAGCTCGTGCAAGAGCAGCAACTATGATCCAGTGTGCATGGCGAGCGTTGGGTGCTCGGGAAGTACGAGCACTGCTTGAATCGCAACAGCAGTCACCGTACGAGCAACGCCTGGATAAACGCACGAACACCTTCTACTTTGTCTACACGCCTACAGACGAGAAACTGCTTGAGGAACCTCGTGACGAAGTCACAGGTGGAATTCTGCCGTTCCGTCCCATGATTCAAGACCGTATCACAAAAAGTTGGATGTTGGCTTGGCCACACTACACACCAGCTTCTCAGAGAGCACGGACGTCTAAGACAGCACCCGGCGCTGATACTCCATGGGTTGCTTGTAGTCTTTGCACTGCGGAACGCGCAGCTCGCCGCTGCAACGAATGTTACTCGCCCACTGGCGATTATGTGGACTTCTGTCTCGCGTGCTTCTACGACCGTCACTTCCCCACTGCTGCGAACGGCCCTGAAGACTTGAGTTGGCACACGTACACGGCGTTAAATCCGTTGAGCACGCCGTTCTTCCGCTGTGTTGAGTGCTCCAGACCATCGGTCATTCGTTGTTTGCCTTGCAACGAGCATTATTGTGAACGCTGCTTCACTCGTGTTCACTCTCGAGGTAAAACACGCTCACGTCACGCGCGTGAATGGTATGCAGCCCATGCTGCTGCATGCGTTGAGTGCGAGATGCGAGTAGCGTGCCAGCGATGCCTCACTTGCCAAGATGCACTGTGCGAAACGTGTATGGCTCGCACACATGCTCGTGGCCGACGTGCTGACGGGAAGGCGCACACGATGGAATTACTTCCGCAGCTTCTTGAGCCTGGTGACGTTTATTGCGAGCAATGCCGCGCACGTCGCGGTGATGAACGCTGCGAATTCTGTGCCCAGACACTCTGCGCAGTCTGTCACTGGAGCTCTTCATCACCAACTGGAGTCCGTAATAGTAGACATGCCCTTGTATGTGTGGAGACGGCCCTGGCTGAAAAACGACGCGAGTTACTGGGCGATCGAGGCTTGTGTACTGAATGTGGCAAAGCTGCTGATCGTGAGTGCGTCACATGCGGAGACCGATACTGCAGCGTACGCTGGATGGGTAACCCTGGATGTTTTGAGCGCTTCCACGTCAAAGGTAAACGCTCCGATCACACATTCACGATGGTCGAAGTGCCGACAGAAATGCCGCAGGAAATACTGGCACTTGAAGAGCAGGTTCGTGTTAAACGGCGACGCGATGCTGAAACGGCCGAACATGAAGCTAAGCGACTCGCTGCGGCTTTACTTGAAGAGGAAGGAGCTTCGGCGAAGAAGAAGGCAACTAAGACACGACAAAAGAAGACCAAGAAGAAGAAGCACTTGTCGGTGGGCGCACCTAATGGAAAGAAGATCTGTGCTGTCCCGCAGTGTCGACACCGTGCACTTGTCCTTGACATCCCTGGTGCCTCGTTTTGTCCAGAGCACTTCACTCTCCAGCACGCGCTTGAGGTTGCTGAGAGAGACCCTCTGGAAGCTGCGCGGTTGCTGACGCTGGTCGATAACGGCGGTGGACGAGTTGTAAAAAAACAAAAGACGGGATGGAGGGGGTTGTTGCCGGGGAACTTCTTTTCACGTGGGCAACGCGATACCAAGAAACCTCGGAAGCTGAAAGAGACGTCGACCAGCGTCCAGGTCGAATCCTCAACCACTACGACAACTTGATGCTTGGCGGTCTTGGTTGCGCCACACAACGCACACAACGATTGCACTCATAAACAAAGTCGTGTCAGCCACCAGTATTTGAATTGATGTCGCTGTTACCCTCATTAGAAATTCTGTTCGCCGCAGTTACTCTTCATCTTCTCGAGTCGACGCCGCTGGTGTTTCCTGCACCGAATGAGCCTGCAGAGTCAGACCCGAGTTCGTGACCAACGACAACTCATACAACGTATTCTTTTTGGTAACATCGATCGAGAACGTGCATCTGTTAGAGCTCTGCAGGTTTTCCGCTACCCGACCACAGCAATATCGTACCTCCAGTTTGCGCAAATTGTACTTGACCGAGTCGAACTTGCGACGCAGCGGTCCGTTCCTGAAGTCGAACTGGATAAGCTCACCGGAAATGGCTTCAACCATATCCTTACACCGCTTAACTTCATCCACCTCCCTCGCGGTGGCCTTCACGACTGCATACCGCATCAACTCACCTGCACAAATCTGTCAGTTCACTTCAACGTATTGAGCACCAGATACTCCCCCCCCCCCTCCCCATCTCACCGGTGAAGTCGATGACACCACCCAGATACTCATTCTTGAGCACGATCGGAACATCCCGACGTGGCAGCAGACACTTAGTATCGAGGTAATAGCAGAAACACTTGGCCTCAGCATACTCCTCTAGAGAGGACGACAAAGCTCCGTCCCGCAGCGAAGGATTCTTCTCCGTCAGTGTCACCAGCTCTGGAATTACCTGTAGAATGCAATAACACAGTTAGTGACGGCAATTTTAATGGAGTTCACTATGAACACCACCTTCTCTGCGCTGCCCAGCAACTTTAAGGCTTCTGCTTTGTCCGATCGATGCAACGCGAAGATCGCCTGCTTGCTGTTTGTAGCGTCGTCATCATGGGGCACAAAGAACGAGTGAAAGAGTAAGTGTTTACGCCCAATTGCATCTCCCGTGTAGGTTGCAGGCTTGTGTGCTACACCTGGCCTTGAGGATCTCTCGGGACCGCTTGATGATCTTCTCGCGCATCTCATCGTATTCGTGCATCTCTGGGTATTAGAGGGTCGTAAGAAAAGGCACGAGCACTAGAAAGAGATGCAGCAGCGCACCCTGGTTCATATCGATGAAGTCTTGTCGGTGCAGCAACGTCGTGGGGGCTGCATTCTCTTCGGTCGACTCGGTCCGCATGCGCTTCATCCAAGGTAGGTTTGATTAAAGGGTGGAAATTTATACTTTTACCATCCTCAGGTGGAAAGTAAAAGTATTAATTTGATGTAACGTAAATAGTACTTTCAAAGTCATACTGTCTATTTGTACAAGTTTTCGCACGCAAAGGCGGCATCCACCTGCTCTCGGTGTCCAAAGGATAACTAGAGCTTCAACACTCGTGGCCTGCGCAGGCTTCGCTGGTCCAAGATTGAAAATTATCAAGGACAGAAGGCTGGCATGCCGGGTGGTGAGTGTTGTCGTTCCAAGCCGAAGTGGTTTTCCGATCACCGGTGATATGACTATGTGAAGCGCTCTTGCACGCGAGCTGGCGTACGTGTGCAAAATGATCCACACTCTACCAGGCCATTTTGTGCCATTCTCACACTGCGATGAAAAAAAATAATGATTACGGCGAAGCGAAAGCGCTTTCCTTCCGGCTATCGATCCGATCCTTGCAAAAAAATAAGGCAACATTTTGTCGAGTTCTTCTCCGCCAAGCGTCCGCATCGCTCGGTGCTCTCTTTCATCGCTAGATGCATAAAGCTCTTCGAGAATCTTCAAGTAATTGTTTCCTAGCGAGAATTACTACAATTTATTCGTATCATCAGGTATTTCCCCTGCTTATATCATCACGAGGATACTGACATTAAGCATCTAGATATCGTGTTGCTTGGTCCATTACCTCCGTGTTGCTTGGTCCATTACCTCCGCAATACTGACATGGTCTCGTCGCAAGCCAACAACAGCAAATCGTTAGGGTCATGTTATTTTGTCTCGGTGTTTTTCACGGTACTCCCTTTTCGTGTGGTAGGGTTCCTGAGCTCCCCCCGCTGTGCATATTCAAGAAAGACGCGCAGAGGTGAGTGAAGTTACAAGTGTCCGTCCGCCCTCCCAGCAGTTTCCTCGCAGCACAGACGCGTCGTAACACACTGGATCCATCGGTGCTGTCTCCGCCGTCCGATTCTGCGTGGGATTCTCGCTTATCCGCACCATATCTATCGCTAACGTCAGATAATCCGACACCTTATGGCGGATGGCGATGCGGACAAGGAAGATGACGGACCTGATTCTATTATTGCCATCTGATTCCATTGTTGTTTTCTGATTCTAACTTGAATCATTGCTGCTAGTCCTGTTCAGTTACTAGAGCCTGGTACCATGAGCCACTTTGTGCGCCAGAGCAAGTTCCGTCACGTGTACATCGAGCCTGCCAAGCTCGAGTCCTGCTACACGAATGTGCGGCTGGCTACGGCGACGGGTGAGCAAAACTACATCAAGGGTAACACCAAGTTTTTCGCCGTGTCCATCCAGGCGGGTGGTGGTGCCATGGCCGTGGTGCCTTACGATAAGGTGGGCAAGTTTGACCCGGACTTCCCGCTTATCTCTGGTCACCGTGGTGCCATCTTGGACTTCGACTTTAACCCTTTCCACGAGCACCTCATTGCGTCGGCCTCGGACGATACTACCATTAAGGTGTGGGGTATCCCCGAGGGCGGCCTGGCCGAGACTTGCGTGGACCCTCTCGTGGACTTGACTGGCCACGGCCGCAAGGTGACGCTTATTAAGTTCCACCCCACGGCTAACAATGTGCTGGCCAGTACGTCGTCCGACTTTTCCACGCGGCTGTGGGATATTGAAAAGGGTTCCGAGATCGTCAAGATGGAGGACCACGGAGAGAACCTGATTCAGGACCTGGCTTGGAGCTGGACTGGTAGTTTGCTCGCTACCACATGTAAGGACAAGGTCGTGCGTCTGTATGATGCTCGTTCCGGCCAGATTGCCGCGCAGAAGGAGAACGCCCACATGGGCACGAAGAGCGTCAAGATGAGCTTCCTCGGTAGCAAGGAGACGTTCGTCACGGTGGGCTTTACGCGTCAGAGTCAGCGTCAGTTCAAGGTCTGGGACCCGCGTAACCTCGACAAGGAGCTGAAGAAGGTGGACATTGACCAGGCCGCAGGTGTCATCATGCCGTTCTACGACCCGGACACGAACCTCCTGTACTTGTGTGGTAAGGGTGACGGTAACATTCGCTACTACGAGATGTCGGAGGGTGAGCCGTTCGCATTCCCCATCAGTGAGTACCGCTCGACGACTTCTGCCAAGGGTATGGCTATGATCCCCAAGCGCGGTTGCGATATCATGAAGTGCGAGACTACTCGTCTACTGAAGCTGACATCGAATGCAATTGAGCCGCTGCACGTGTTCGTGCCCCGCAAGTCGGACGCTTTTCAGGACGATATTTTCCCTGACACGTACGCTGGCATTCCCTCAATGACTGCCGACGACTGGCTGGGTGGTGCCGATAACTCGCCCGTGCTGATGTCCCTCCGTCCTGAGATGCAGGGTAAGGTCACCAACGATGGCAAGCGCTCACGCTCTGCATCCAAGGCGAACAGCGTGGGTGCTGGCATTGCGGCTCGCGTGGCTCGTTTCGCACGCGGCGGCAGCAAGACCGACAACACCCCCGAAGGCAAGCTTAAGGCCGAATTGGACACTGCTAACGCACGAATTGCAGAGCTGGAGAAGCTGCTTCGTGACAACGGCATCTCGTACTAAAAAGCGTCAGGACAGGACTGACTGCTACGACTACTGGGTAGGGGGACTATTAAATCCCCTATCACGGTTGGATTGGAATGCCGTTAGAACGACGCTAATTGTCGCTTCGTTTTCTGTTTTGGCTCTTGCAGTCGGAACCAAATACTTATTAGATTCGTGAGCAAGCAAGAGGCCTACGCACGCACCGAGTGGAGAGCAGGACAGCAAGAATACCAAGAGAAGTGTGAGAATACACGCAAATGCATGTCGAACAAAAATTGTGTGCTATTCAGTTGACCTCTTTTTACTGTTTGCTGTTCCTGACTAATCAGTGCTGAAGAATTTCGTGTCAGGTTGAGAGCCGTCCTCAAGCTGCGGTGTGCTGACAATGTTGTGGCGCAAGGAGTCGAGACTCCATGACAGGATATCGAGTGTTTGCCAAGCGTTTGCCCCCGTTGCACCAGTAAATCCAACCCATGCTCGACCGTGGAAGAGTTCAAGAGTGTTCTCGATTCGTAATGGCACTGTCAGCACAGGGCTGTTCATATCGTCCAGATAAATCGTGAGTAGCCCGATACCCGACCGCCAGGCACCTGTGGAGAAGAAGTTACCAGCTAGCGTGCTGGCCGTGAATGCTTCGTCGAAGAGCATGCTTTCGTCAAGATTGGATTTGTACGTGATCCGCACAGTGTGGGTATCCTCCGTCAGGTCCGGAAGATTACTAGTAGCGCCGAGAGAGTGCGTATGATTGGGCTGCACTACTCCTCCGTTTCCACTGACGTGTACGCTGATGTGATTCTCGTAGACATCTAGCAATTCCGGATTGAACCACGTATCGAACTCAATGGCGAGTGCGTTTCGGAGACCGCCATAGCCAAGGGACATACCTCCGGAACCCAGTGCAAGCTCTTGTTGCACGTCGTTTTGTATCACAAAAGCAAAGCCGTCGCCTCCACGAGACCTGCAGTTTGTGTGGACGTTGTCCATTACACGGCATGTTGTTGAAGGATTGGTCGCTCGAAATGAGAAACTGGTGGTGAATCCTTCTCGGACGTTCATTTGTCGTGGATACCAAGCTGCGCCCGTGAGGAACGATTGCGACGCTGTGAGCCTCAGGACTGTACCACAAGATGTTGTAATTGGGGCGGCATCAACTGGTTGTGCTGGAGTTGATTTGTCGAAGACAGACACTTGCTTCGCTGGAAAAGGCATGGCTGCCATGGCGTTCGTGGGCAACGAGCGATGTGTTGATCCATTGACGTAAATGACGTTGCGACTCTCGCTTTCAAAGCACACGTACGAACACCCTGTAATGGCTGCAGTCAAATCTCTTGGAACTGTCGCGTCAAAGCCATCACAGCACGAAACTGAGGCGTTGCAGTTCTGAAGCTGTTAAAATAGGCTCGTCAGTGAAGTATTATGCAAGAGCGAGCAATTGCTGGGAGAGGGGAAACTTACATGGGCATCGCCGTTCACGTACAATCCGAAGTGTCCTTGGTCGCCTACTTCACCAGTTGGACCAAGCGTCGGAGTTGTACGGAGAGCAATGGCTTCAGGAAGTGCACTGAGATTTGTCAGTAGTTGAGCGCTGAACTGAGGAAAGGAAAAATCTGTTAACGAGATATCATCGGTTAGAACATTGAAGGCAGTTCAAGAGTACGCAAGAAATTGTGGTATTTTACCCTGTTGGAGTGTTTGAACACATGAAGAGAGCGGAGAGTCGAAGCCAACCACAGCATTCGGCAGGATACGACGGCGGCCGTACAAGTCAATGTCCTTCCACTCCTTCGACCATCGCCACTGGTTCTCGGTCAGCGGTGTTACCTTTACCTGATAACTTGTGGAGCTTTCAAGCTCGATGAGCGTGGTGGATGTTACATTTCCTACTACAACAGACTGATCCAGAGAGAACGTATCATCTGTGCAGTGCTTCCAAGCTACACGATAACCTGTGACTGTCATGCTCACCCACACATCAGTAGGTGCCTCCCAGTTAACGTCGAATGCGTGGGCTGCTATGTTGGAGATTATTGGCTCCGGAGGTGCGCTTACTGGCGCAGCGTACGACAGCAATGGGACCTCGTCAAATAACTCCATCAACCGTCCATTGTGAACACGGACTATAGACGGATATGTTGAATTCGCCAACCACTTCAAAGCTACTGGAGGTAAGCGACACTGTAGTTCCACCTCCGGAACGACATGAACAACGTCCAAACATTCGACTCCGTCAATGGTAACGACTGCGTCAGCTGTGCCAAAATGTTTTCCACTGATGGATATCAACTCACCACCTTCACGCACGCAATTGTATGTAGATGCTCGAGGTAGTGGCATTGATGAGCACTTTGCTGCTGAGGAGTGGTGAAACCCGTTGGTCCAGCGTTCAACCTCTGTGCAATTGAGGTGTGCTGCTTTGTCACCATCGCTATTCCCAGGGACGTCGTCATCGTCAAAATATTTGTCGATACAACCACGGACTTTGGTCACAACGGGTGCTTTGGTGAATGCTATCCAGTCAATCGAGAAACTTTGTCCGGTAACGGGGTTGCGCGAGACACATGGGTGAAAGCATACGCGACGGATGACCCCTGTCACGTGCTTCCAGATAGGAATGAAGTAAAGATCATCCTGTTCTTGTGCGCCGGCGTGCAGCTTGAATGGGATTCGAATCGGGTCGTTCATTACCCTCGGGTCGACACCTGGCCAGACGGTTGGTTTGGACGGAGATCGCTCTAACGATACCATTGCAAGATCACACTGACCAAGATATTTCATTCGGAATACGAGGGTATCTCGCTCACTAGCACCGATATACACGTGCAGTTGCGGTGAATCCACAAAGGCCAGCTCCGGGTCTCCGCTATTCAGCACCACTCCTCGTAAACGTCCATCACCGGCATCGATCTCCACTCCCATTTCCAGCGACGTCGACTGACCCCAGCCATTCCTGCCGTCATCAAAGTTCCATTGGACTTTGCGGTGAAAGGAACACAAAAGTTAATTTAATCAGTGGATTATGAAAAAGTAAAGTTGGTAAAGCGTACGGGAGATCGAGTTCATGACGCTTGGAGCCACTGACCCTTGCGTGGAACCTGCAGTTGCCAACATTGTCACCGCTCCAGTGAGAAGAAGCATTATAGTACATCGACGCCATCGTTTATTTGTCGGTGTGGAGTAGCTGAAATGATAGCGAGTCTCCATTGCATGAACGATGCAAATCCAATCCTAAAGGCGACTTTTTGGCATTTGCCAGACCACAAAAAAAGACAAAATTATTCAAAAGATTGGTATAATCAGCAAACTCGTCCACAGTAATCACTCCGCTTCCGATAACAGGCAATGTTAAAGCACTTGGCTATAGACCTGTATTTTGCATCATTTCCTATTTGTAAAAGCCCATTGGACTTTTACAGGTAAGGATTACCAACTGATGAGTGATTTGCTTACCCCAACCAGCGCTTATGCTATATCATATTTTTACCCTCACGCACAATCCGCAAATTATAAACGGCTTTGACATTGAAACAACAGCTCAGTGCATCCCCGGAGATTGACCCGCAAGGAAACACATTTCGAAAACGTTCTTCATACCTTCATGAAACAGATTTCTGTCAACTTCGCCCTCTCGTATAGAGTACACATTTCACTTGTTTTGGGATAATAATGTGTCAGCTCTACTACATGTACAGCTCCCAGCCTGGGCCAACCATGTGGGCTCAACCGACAAGCAGTTGAACAAACTTTAGCGAGTTGCAGCGATCGTTGACTGAAGGTGCTACAGTACCGTCATTCTGGCTTAACGGAAACGATTTCAGTTACAATGACGTCGAGTTTAAAAACGAAGCAATCAAAATCCAGCCAATCCGCGTCGTCCTTCGATGTCACTTCAACTTCATGACAGCAAGTCACTCACAGCCTCACTTCGCAATTTGCTAGGCACCACGCACAACAACAAGATCGCACACGCAGCTACTCATTAATGGACAACTCAGTTTCGCCTCAGACCAACACGAAGACCTGTATTCCGCGAGTTTTCACTTCGTCTGCCGATTATCGCCTCCAAGTCACGCCTCGGTCCTACGTCTTCTTCGAGGACTCGCGCCCTGACGCCCCCACTGGTAGCACCATCGCTATTTGCCTTCCGGGTATTGGGGATACTCGACGTCAGTTTCGCTTGTTGGCACCCCTGTTGCATGATAAACTCGGCTTTCGTGTTCTTCTCGGAGACTTGCGCGGCTTCGGCGAATCGACATCGTTCGATGACAACCAGGCGGACAACTACTCCGCCTACTCCCCGGAAGCTGTAGCGTCCGACGTGACAAGCTTGATGGAGAAACTGAGCGCGACCGACCCGAATTGCAGTTTTGTGCTGCTTGGCAACTCGCTCAGCGCTGGGTCGATGGTGCTCGCCGCGGCTGTAGCCAATAGGGAGCCATCGGGTCCTCGTATCAGCGCACTGGTCTTGCTTGGACCTATCCTTCGGGATTCTCCGATGGACTCGTGGTTTCGGCCTCTTTCGCATTTGATGTTTCGTCCGCTATACGGGGCATGGGTGTGGGGAGCGTACTATAAAACTCTCTTCCCGGGAAAGCTGCCGGACGATTTCGATGTAGAGCTCGACATTCTCAAAACGCACTTGAAAGCTGAGACGGGCAACATTATCAACGTGGGCCGCTTTGCTCGAGCTAGTAAAGTCGGCGTCGCGTCCACTCTTAAAAGTATAGGGGAGCATCCGACCATGCCCGCGCTTGCTTTCTTTGGTCGGAAGGATCCGGATTACGCGGACATCAAAGCTGAAATCGAGTGGTTCAAGGGGGCAGTCCCGCACGCCCAGTGCTTTGAGGATGCCGACGGTGGCCACTACCCGCATCTCGAAAGCCCGGAACGCGTCGTTAAGGCGATACAGAATAGTTTGGCCTTCACAAACCGCGGGTAGGAAGGAGTAGACACCACGTGTTTCGTTTTATGAGTAAATGATCATTTGACCTGCTCAATCTCTCCAACAGCACAAAAGCTCAGCAGGCCCTCCGTGGCGCGCTGCTGCAAGCAAACGAGCTTGTTTGAGATCCATTCGGGTAATGTGTCATTACGCCGCTGGTAACTATTTGGCAGTTTGTCGAACTTGAAACACCGCCACAAGCAAATTTGCCGCCTCACGAAATCATGAGCAGCCATGGCGTCACACTAAAGAACCCTCAGCGCCTGAGTGATGAAGGCAGGATCGAGGAACTCCAGGACGCGATAGCAGCTTGAAGATCCAGTATGCTGAGAGCATTCTGCTTGGAGTTGGGTTTGCGTGTCTGGCGCAGGAAGTACGTGGCGTATCAGTCCAAGGCCGGCTACTTGAAGCTCCTCGTCAAGAAGTTGGCAGCTAAGCGTCGCGATATCGATGTATCGGTGTCACCATCATTGCCGTCGAAGAAGAAGAGCTATCTGCACCTCCTCCACGTAATCTTATCAGACATCACCCCTGCTCGATAAAATTCTGTCGCCGAAGAGAAATTCTCAGAAATGCGAGGGAGGCGAGCGGAAGATGAAGAAGCGTGCAGCAAGTTCCGCATCGATCGGCAAAGCAAATAGATTGCTGAAAGAGCTGGGTTCACGTGCTGCTGTCATCGTAGATGCGGAGTTGACTCGATGTCTAAAGTGGCTGACTGAGGTGCAGCGAGAGGAGGACGAAGAAGACAGAGCATAGCTATTGGTGATCACTAGAACGTTAAAACGCGCTACAATAATGAATACCTAGCTTATAAAACACACCACTAAACGCTGCTGGACAGGAAATTTCAGCAGGATCCTGTGGCGTTGACGTTATTGTGTTCTCCATGATTTCAATCTAATGGCACAAAGGGGG